GGCACCGTCCACACCACCAGCGAGCGGCGTACCCACGCAGTTGCCACCTTCGACGCAACCGAACGCGCAGTCTGTCTATTCGTCTCTTCCGCCCGGTCAACAGTCTTCCGTGATCACGAGGATGCTGCAGTCACAACCGGTGTCGTCTAATAATCCGCAGTCGTTCACAGCAGCGGCGGCTGCAATGGGTCATAAATATTTCGGTGCTCCCAATGCAACTGGACAAATGATGACAGGTCCACGAACCGGCTATGAGATGCAGCCACGCGGTAGGATACCTTCGCCATATAGACAGCCAGGGCAAACTTCCATGCCACCTCATTTTGCGGCTGTAAGGTCTGGCACACCACCCATGAGAATGAGAGTTCCAGGACCGCAAATGTATCATACGCCTCATCATCCTATGGATCCCTCTCCATCAGGTGGTGGTCCTATATCCATAAGTAGTCGAGATCGCAGTTCTCCTTTGGCACCGGGTCCTCCACCCATGATACCACCTGCAGCCGGTAGTCCATTGGCTAAAGGTGGACCAACGCCACCTCCACCTTCTTACGTAAGAGGTGGTCCACCGATCTCCAGGTTTACCGATAATCCTATGGGACCGAGGCATCAGATGCCACCATTTACGAATGCCTCGCCGGCTAACCACGCGTTGCAACAACCTTCTCCACCTCCAAATAGACCGCCAGGAAATTTCTCGCCGTATCATCCACCTCCACCACCCAATTATCACTACGGTGCTTATCCTCCTCCTCCGCCTATGTCTACGGCGGACGATGCAGCAGCTTATCAAGGTTCGCCCTATCCTACGGAACATTTCTCGTCTCCCGCGGACAATCAGCCGCAGATTCAAGCACCTCCACAACCGCAACCTCCACAGTCTCAACCACCGCAGCCACAACAACAATCGCAAACGCATCCTAATGACCCGGCTACTGTTGCAAATAAACAGTACGACGACGAAGGTACTGGGGAGTTTGGCGGTTTGGTGTCTTATTTCAGTAGCCAGAGGGAGGACGATTTGGATTCGTAGCATGAGTGAAATCTTGGCCAACCCTAAAACGTTTTTTAAGTATAAATCCTTTATACAGGATGTACGTTTTAGTTCTCCTTCTTAAAGTGATCTCGACTCTTGCTTAGAAAGAAGGTTCTTGAGAAAGACAGGTTTCTGATATCCTATTGATATATTTTAGCCCGTAGGTACCATCGCACTAATCAATCCTTATCTTGAGGTTTTTGTTCCTGAAACTTCGAAGAAGTGACAGACCCATATTAAATTGTTCATTTGTTTTCTACCTTTAATAACTCGCTAAACGAAGCAGATCGATCACTATAATTTTTTATAATAGGATAAGATATTCTATTCAAACACATTCATTTGAAATGTAATAAAATCGCGTAACGTAGGGAATATACATATAGCGATAAGATCAAAAATTGCAGTAATGATCAAAACAAGAAATATACAATACGCAGAAAATTTGAGATTTATTTGTATTATTGTTTATCGATATGGATCTGCTTCGTTAAGCGCGTAGAAAGTAGATAACAAATGAACATTGGTGTGCGCCTGTTCTTGAAGAAAGTTCTAATTCGTTATACGAATCGTATCAAAATAAGGGTCGATTGCACGATAAAATTCGTATTTTACAATTCTTAAAATTGTAGTTACGGGTTAAACGTAGTTATATCATACATCAAGATACTTGAAAATGAATTGATGGAAGTATTTACATAATGTAATGAGATATAATACTATCTAGTGTTGTTTTATACGCGTATGTTAACGTCTACAGTATATAAGAATGTGTAAAAATAGAAGTTAGGATCGTCTTCCTCTTAGTCTTCTTCAGCAAGTAGTCGTTTCAACAAAGAAAAACAACAAAAGCCTTTGCACTTTGGATCTGAAACATAAAAGAAGTCGTAGAAACTAAGCCTGAGGTTGGTCAAGTGTAAAGTTTGGGAAATGTCCGAATCGTTAACAATGGAGCCTATTTTTTAAGGATTATAAGTTTTTTGTAATTAGTTTCAGTTCGATTTTGAATTAATATAAAAAGCAAGCGACCATAACTTTGTTCAACGTTGAATGTATTGTAGAATATTCGTGAAGGAGACGGATCTGATTAGAATTTTAACCTTTTCCCGTTCGTTTTCGAACTCATTTCTTCTAATCAGGTGCATCTTTTTACGAACAATGTATTCCTCGTTGAACGAACGTTAATCTTATTAAAAACAAAAAGAATAAGAAAAAAAAATTATTGACAAATTCGCGCCGTTGTTACGTGTACATATGTAAATACCGTAAGTTCTTTAGATTATATATTACGTGTATTATATAATATAGTGTCAAGCAAAATACTATATAAAATGAATTAGTGCAAAGGGCACAAATTGTAATATTTAAATTAATTAGAAGAAAAAAAAGAAGAAATGGTATCTGATTATTATAAATTAACAAATGGTGTGAAGACTACTACTATAATTATTTATAAAGAAAGATTAAGAATTCTATGATAGGACTTAGCACGTATTGTATTTTACAAATTTTACTTGATAATTTTACGATTAAATCATTAAATATAGTTATACATTAGAGAACAGGAGGCTGCTGTGCGCGTTCTACGAAAAGTGAGAAAAAACTATTATTAAAAAGCGATATTCATATATAATACACAGAGACACATACACACACATAACACATATATATTAGCGATATTAATGTAATCGGCAAAGTTAAGGAGGAATATATGGAATGAAACAAATTTTATTATAATCTTGCGTGCAATGAACTACATAATAATATGTACGTATATGTATAATTCAAGAAAATTTTAAGCACGTGCAACCGTAATGGGACTTATTTTGTTCCTTAAAGAAATTAATCGAGCATGAATTATTAAGAATATTCGTTACTATTGCGTAAAGATAACAAATAATTACGTAGAGGATAATAAAAGATAGTTATGAATGAGAGTGAATAAGAGAAAATATAGAAATATATTCATGAATGAATGTGAAGATTTTGCTATTGTTTCTGTAATTGAAACAAAGAAAAACGATCGTTTAGGTGTTCTTCTTGTAAATCAAGTCAGGATAGAATCTGAAATTATATGAATATTTTTTATCAAGAGGAAGGCCTAAACGGAATTTGGTCGGTGAATGGTGTTTACTGAACAGATACAATCGTTTAAAGAGAAGGGTTGTTTTTTTTTTAAATGCAATTTATTGTTTATTGTATTATTTCGTTCGATTTCATCCAGCCTCCTGATCTTTAATGCATCGGTATGTCTATAACAACAGACGTAGCACTTGCAAAAATCTGTATCTGTTTAGTTATCACACGTACGTGCATACCTAATATAAATAGAAGCTATATAAACAAAAAAGGATATTACATTATCTTAGAATTAGCTGCTTGGGATAGTTTCCTTTTACTTCGAAAAAACGTTTGGAGGACAAAACGTAATTGAACGTTTATACACGTGCACACCATATAACGTAGTAGAGGGTGTTTTACTACCGCTCATTTGATTATTTTTTACACCTATATGTATTTTTCGGTTGTACACAGTTTGATAATACGATCTATTATCGTCTTATTCTTATTCATCATCTTCTTCTTCTTCTTTAGAACACATGTCTTTGGACCATTCGTTCTTAGGGTGCGCTTCAAGGAAAATGAATCACATACATACAACATACATAAATACATATACATATATATATAAATATATAAATACATACGTATATGCCTGAGCTCCTCGTTAGTTCATAATTAACGGCAACATCATTACTGTCGCGTTTATTAAAGTGAAATAATTTTCAATTCTTTCTTAATTGTTCTCCCGTTATTCATCGAGATGCAGTATCTCGATTTATATATATATACATTATGAATATTATGTTCTATATAGATCCATACTCAGATGTCTCTTACCTTTAACAAGATGAAAAGAAAAGATGTATCTAATACGAATATTACAATGAATATTGCTATTAGTCGAAACGTATTTGCATTTAGTGAGATATTTAATATTTCGTGTACGTTGTGATACCGAGATGCAACGTCGGAGAGAGATACCCGATTGTATAGTCGTCTTTTATCTGGATAATTTAAATCGCGCGTAGATTTATTCGCATTTAAATAGAACGTGTTTCCTTGAAACGTAAACCGAAGAAAAAAAGTGTCTTGCTAAGACGATAGGAAATGTGGTGCAGTTTAGCTTTTGTTTTGATAAGGGTCTAGACCAAACGCAATTATTATATTACATGTTGTAGCCTAAATGCAAACATTTTGTAATAAAATTCAATATATTGAAATAACATATTGTAGAATTGAATCAATTTTTGTCTTTTATTTTTTTTTTTTTTTTTTACTTTTCTTGATTATTCTCTGTTTCTCATTCAATAATTAATTATTAAACTATGCGTTTTGAAACATCATTTATTTAACTGCTTACGATAAAAGAATAATTCTTTAAATAACATTTATTTCCACTGTGTTAATTAATATACATAATAAAATGTATACATACGTTAAATGTGTTATTACTTTTGTAAACATTATATATATACCATATATATAATTACTACACAATTCCGAATACAATACTAATTATTTTTAATCTGACAAAGTATATAATTATACGTTTTCTTGTATTTACTTTTTGTTTCTTCATGTATATCTGAACTATTAAATATTAATTATTAAATAAACAAAAATACAATTTGTAAAAAATTAATTCGTCATCGTATGTAATTTAAATCTTCGTTCACTATTGAAAGCACTCAATAATCGACCAATCAGTTTTACCCTTTCAAAGATCAATAAAATAACTTCTTTCTGATTGGTTAACGCACGTTTGATTAATGTCGAGTAATATAAAATTTATTTTATAATATATTTTTGACTTTTTACTAAATTTAAAAGGACATAAAGGAATCTTCGTTAATTATATATAAAGCATAGTTATTTGAATAATAATTTGAACTGTCAAATATTGATATATATAAAATTTGTAAAATAATCCTTATCACTATATTTCTCAATCGAAATTTCTTGAAAGCAACAGTGCAAAATTACCATACATCGAAATGTACTAGATGTCGGAATAAGTTTGAGAGCTTTCATTGTTCGAACGAGAATATTTACACGTTCTATCTTTGTAAACATGTATTAGTATTATTAAAATCCAAAACAAGAAATTGCAGAACCTATTTTACTAATCATATAATTTAACAAAAAACGAAGAAATTTCTTATTGTATAAAGTTATTGATGTGTGTTTTTTATTTTGTACGTCAGTTGATGTAATCGTCAATAATATATTATCTCTCTATAAAATTTCAACAAAATTAAGACATATTTGCCAACATCGTTGACAGTCACATAAATGGCACATTTATTTACATGTATGTGGGACTCCTCAATGTTCCTGAGCACCCTAACCCCGAAATTCTACGTAGCATTGACAGGAACTTCATCGTTAATATCCGGTCTTATTCTCATATTCGAATGGTGGTACTTCAGAAAATATGGTACTTCTTTTATCGAACAAATATCTTTGAATCATATTTCACCTTGGATTGGTGGAGGTGACAGTGGAGCTGATAATGCTAACTCAAATTTAAATAATTCCAATGGTTCTAATCAACAGAACGTTCCTGAATGTAAAGTTTGGCGTAATCCAATTAATTTATTTAGGGGTGCAGAATATCAAAGATTTTTCTGGGCAACTAACAAAGAGCCACTAACATATTATGATATGAATTTATCTGCTCAAGATCATCAAACATTTTTTACTTGCGAAGGTGATACAGGTAAATATTATAAAAGAATCCGTAGTGTATATTTATAAGTAATAGCTGACAAAACTTAGATATAAAATGGTACATTGTTTCTATATTAATTGATCATATCATGTAGGTAAAGATGAATATGAAATTATGCAAACAGCTTGGAGAGAACGGAATCCTGTAATTAGAATAAAAGCTGCACACAGTGCTTTAGAAAGTAACCCAGACTGTGCACCAGCTTATATTTTACTCGCCGAAGAAGAAGCTACTACAATCATAGAAGCAGAAAAGATTTTAAAACAAGCATTGAAAGTAGCGGAAAGTAATTATAGAAAATCTCAAAGTACGCAACATCAAGGCTCTATTGCAGAAACGATACACAGAAGAGACACAAATGTACTTATTTATATCAAAAGACGTTTGGCTATGTGTGCGAGGAAACTTGGAAAATTGAAAGAAGCAGTAAAAATGTTCAGGGACTTAACGAAAGAAGTACCACCAATTATGAATGTTTTGAATATCCATGAAAATCTAATAGAAGCTTTATTGGAAATGCAAGCATATGCTGATGTTCAAGCTGTTTTAGCAAAATACGATGACATAAGTCTACCAAAGTCAGCCACTATATGTTACACAGCTGCATTATTAAAGGCAAGATTGGTTGCTGACAAGTTTTCACCAGATATAGCTAGCAAAAGAGGATTAACCACAGCAGAAATGTCTGCGGTAGAAGCTATTCATAGAGCAGTAGAATTCAATCCTCATGTACCAAAATATTTATTAGAAATGAAACCCTTAATTTTACCACCTGAACATGTTTTAAAAAGAGGAGATTCAGAAGCTATAGCTTATGCATTTTTCCATCTTGCACATTGGAAACAAATGGAAGGAGCTCTTAATTTATTACACTGTACATGGGAAGGAACATTCAGAATGCTACCATACCCTTTAGAAAGAGGACATTTGTTTTATCCATATCCAACATGTACTGAATGTGCAGATAGAGAACTTTTACCTACTTTCCATGATGTCAGCGTTTATCCGAAAAAAGAATTGCCATTTTTTATTTTATTTACAGCCGGTTTGTGCTCCTTTACAGCACTCTTGGCTTTGCTGACTCATCAGTATCCTGATACGATGGGTGTAGTAGCACGAGCAATGCTCGCTTGGTTCTCTTATCCTTTTTATTACATTTTGGATAAGTTAGAAACTGTCTTGCCGTCTAATTTATTGCAACAGCTCTCTAGAATATAAGAAATTTTCTTATGATCTCTATTAACCAAGACCTATTGTGATATTTATATTTTTTTTTCTTCTTTAGATATGCTTCTTTGAAGCATATTTTACATGTTCGCGTAACACGTCTTCTTCCTTACTTACATTTTTATGACTGATGATTGGATATAGTATATATTTATAGTATGAATTAATTATTTAGCGTTATAAGTCAATTAAATCAGTAACCTACTGGAACAGGTAAAAGTGATTAAAAAAAAAAAACATGTAGAAATGCTTACGGCACTTACCATTTTGGAACTTTCGTTTCTTACTTTACTGTTTTATTTATTTATTTATTTGTTGCCGTAAATAGTTTGTGCAATAACGTATATAGCTTTTAAATTTAAAGAAGAAATGATTAACACAAAATTTTCATTGTGAATTTTCGGTGTATACCTAGGTATATATATTTATATTTTTATATTCGATTCTTTAATTGAATAATCACTTAAGCGACATAACTTGTTATTCTGTTTTCTTCTATCAAGAGAACAGAGAAAAATTATGGAACTTTATGCTTGTTGTATTGTTATTGGATTTTGTATAATATATATAAAAACGAAAAAGAACGGTAATGATATAAATGATTTCGAATCAATTATTCGATGATAAAATTATAAATTTAATTTTTTATGTTGTGAATTAGATGCACCTTGCTTGCATAGTTATTTAAAGGATATGTAGATAGAGTACACGTACATATCATTGCATTCGTATTTATTCGATATTTCATATTATCAATAGCTCTTAATGAGTTGAGAGAACAAACAAGACCAGGTATATTCATATTTTGCATATTGATAATGTAAAACATAGCTTATAAATGTTACATAAATGAAATAAATACAATTGTAATAAATCTGATCTTGAACAATTGTATTAAATATACGTAATACAACGAGTATCGACAAATTTAGAAATAAAGATACTTTCTTCATTACATTATAAATTAATTTATATATATTAAAATATAACAAAATTGAGAGACAATTACTATGAATAAATGAATCAACTCTGGTCTGCCTGTCTATCGTGAGACGGTTATGATAGGAGAGAGAGAGATATAAGACACTTGGAAGTCAGAGGGCCCAGGTCTCTCGTACTCTGGGCTGGCTCACCATGACTTTGATTTTGTTTCGAACATTCATTCACTATTAACCTTAAATGATAACTGATTTAAATTTTTGTTGTTTTGTTTTTATGTACAATACTTCTTTAAAATTTATAATTTAGTTACTTAGAAAAAAAAAAGAAAAAAAAAACAGATATAACGCAGGAATAGTATTAAATAATTATTTCCACATAGCTAAGACAATTTGTATTATAATTATGAATGTACGTAATAAGAACATGTAAAAACTTTTCAAATGTGGTTCTTAAGTTTTACTATAAGAATTATCCTTAATAGATTGTTACAATTATATTCGTATATTTATATATATTATATTATTAAATATAATATATATATTTATTTATACTTATTTATTTATATATATATATTAGTATATAATACATAATATATATTAATATATAGTAATATTGATCTATAAAGTAGGAGATATTTTTTTTTTGAGTATTCGTTTTCGGTTAGTATCTGAGCTATGTACATGAAGCCCATATACGTTTAAACGGCACATACGATTCTTCCATCGCATTTCTAATCATTCTTACCGTTCCGGATCAATTTATTTATTGCCAAAACGGTTGAATTGTTTTCTTGCAATCTGACAAAAGTCCACGTAGTGTTTATTTACAAATAACAGATTGTCCAGTTCACTATAAAGGTAGCATCGACAGACAGCCCTGTAATCACTTCACTGCATTTTTAGACTTGATCGTAATCACCATTCTCTATAAATAAGGCACCTTTAACAAATTACGCTGTTATAGGCTACAACGATCTAGCAGTCCAACACTTATACAATGTTACAAGATCTGCACCGATAGTAGATAACTCGTAATTGTCAATTGAGGCTTACATAAACTGCTGTATTAATACATTGAACAAAAAACGATATGCATATGTAAATATTATGTAACTAACTGGGCACTGTAAACATCAAAAATCATCTCCCGTTTAAAGTTTGCATCCTCTCAAACGGGTATAGTCATCTTCTCTCAATTTTCTTAATATGTTTTTTTGTTTATCATAAATTAACATAGTCATAACAAATACTTTATCATTTAATGTTTTATAGCGTTTATAATAAATATATTAACTGTACTTATTGTTTATTACAATCCAATACCTTTTAAAGCAGCATAGTTCGCGTAAAACTTTTCCTTTCAAATGCCTCGAATTTCTTCTAAAATGATCTATCTACCATGCCCACCACATTGGGCTGCCAAAGCGACAAGTAAATTCGAAGATCAGACGTAATTGACTTAATCAAGTCAATGGGGTCGATTTCGATTATTTATAATTTTTTATAGGAAAAAAAATAGAAACAAAAAAAAAATACAGAAAAAAAAACAGAAAAATACGAAGAGCAATTTGTTCGCACTAGAACTATATCTCCTTGATCATCGAAAAGATTCAAAAGTACTTTGTGCTCGTGGAATGTTGAAAAGTGTATTTAAAAGTGTGGAAGAAATGCTACATTATTAAATTGATATTATTTGCAACTGTCCTCTTCTTTGTCCATGATAAAAATACCTTCCGACGCCACAAAATTATGACACTGGGCGTGGATGAATAGCTTCACTTCGGCATTAAAGAGTACCGTTTGCGAAGTACTGATACCGGTCATAGAGTTTAGTAGACCAAGAATGGATGCTACCTTCAACCAAATCTTCGACATGACGACGTAGTTGATCTTCCGTCAGTGTAAGATGAAATCTGTTTTTCAATCCTTGAACCGTGGCAGCTCCTCCACTGCGGAAACAAGGAAGTTGAGATCCTATAACGAGAAAACAAAAAAAGATTAGAATTTAATGAAGAAATGATTTTCTTTTTATGGACAACGACAAAATATTAATTATTATGCATTGATTACTAAACAGGTTTATACCTGATAACATGATCTCTACAAGATTAACGATCTTTTCCATGTGCTTTCGTGCTGCGATCAAACCTTGGAGAATGAGAGTTTTAAATTGTTGAAAAATTTTCGATTGGTTACCACCCATCACTTCAACAAATTCGGGAGTCAACTTAAATGGACTGGTCTCAAATCCCAAATTCCTAGGTGAAGTGGACAATATGAATCCAAAATCTATATGTATTAGATGTCCATCGCTGTGTAATAAAATGTTTCCATTGTGACGATCTTTTACTTGAATGAGGTAACTTATGAGACAATAAGCAGCACAACTTTGCACGAAGTTCTTTTGAGCAATGATGAACGCTTCGGAATTTGAAGGACCAAATTCTCGTTCGAAGTATTGTAAAAGAGTCAACTGACAGTGTTTTTTTATTTGGTGTAAAGATACAGTGTTCAATATTGGTTCTATCAATCCACTATCATTAGATAAACATAAAATCCTAAAAATAATGTCAAGTTGTAATAAATTCTGTATTATTGAAGAACATAAATTAATGTTTAAAAGAATAATTTGTATTATACTTGTATGGTTGAACCCAAAGTGGAATTTTCTCGTCTAGCCAAATTTTCTGTAACATTGAAAGTAATTGGGAAGCAAGAAGTTCTTGTCTTAAATCATCTCCACATTTAACAATAACGGCAAGAAGTTTCCAAGAAGCTAAATGACCATATGGACTGGATGCTCTAATACGTTTCTGCTTTAATTCCCATGGCTCTTTAAGGACGGCGGCTGATGGATCCTCTGGATCATGATTAAATGTTGCACTAGGTGTAGCAGTCATTTCACTTAGACGTCGTTTTATATCACCAGGTACAAAAACTGGTTCTCGACTGTCAGATGATTCTTGACTTAATTGAGATATCGTATCTCTATCTCTTGGCTTACGAAGTTGTAAATACTATTAAAGCAAAAAATAAAGATTGAATAATGAATTAATATGAAGACAAAAACAAGCACATTTATTCTCGATATATGTAGGTGATTCCATTTAATTGAGACTCCCTGCATATAGATATACAAATATTATTACCTGTTGAGTTATTTCATCGTCTTCTTGACTCCAACAATCGTTTGGATCGTCATCGGGAAAATTAAATGCTATATCTGTACTTCTAACAGAATACGGAGAGATATTTTTAACAGGAGTCTGTCTCAGTGCCGTTGCTACACTTTGTTGCATTTCAGCAGAAACCATATTAGATGATGACGTTACATTAGACTGTTCACCACCAGTTAGATTTTCTTCAGACTTTGTATGCCTTAATGAACTTCCCATAATTTTGGTCGGTACAGGAGATGTATATAAATCTTCTACTTCCAATACTTCGACATAAATAATATACGGTGCCTAAAATCATAAAATTTATCAATGTATAAATGAGATAGGAAATAAATAATACTTGTAGAAATATAAGAGCTAGAAATACCAACCTTATCTTTACTATTAAGCACAGCAGCATACTGCGGAGGGACTCGTACAATATGATGCGGTACTATACTATGCAAAGGCAACCATACCCTTGCAGGAAGATTTAAATTAAGAGTGTTAAGTTCTGCTACCAACTGTACAGTCTTACTTTCCTTTGTTGGAATTGTTCCAAGTAATTTACCAATAGATATCAATGCTTGAATAAATTCAAGTTCTGGAGCAAGACGGGGTGCCTATTGTAATGAGACAAAAGGAGAATATTCATCATAATGTATTATTAAAATTAAGTGAGTCTTTTATGAATACCCATTTACTTACATTGCAGAAGCAATCGGTTTTTTCACCTCTTAAATCATTTACCACACCTTGGCAGGAATAAAAACAGGTACAACCATTGTCAAATGCTCGACCAGAGCTCAGGTCCCCAAGGCTTACTTTATTTATTGTACCTTAACAAACAAAAAAATAAGTACATGAATTTCCGTTACATTATGTATTTTTAAATATAAACTTGATTTAAAAAATGTTATATATACCGGAATGACTACGACGTAAGGTTTGAAACAATCCAGTAGCATCCGATTGAGATCTTTGGTGAGTTTTCTTATTAGGTGATGTAACGTTCTGTGTTAAAGGTAATGGCGGCGAAGCAGGAACTTGCAACGCGGAAGAACGTTGCTTTCGTGTCAGATTTCCTTTCGGCCTGAATTTATATTAAATGTATTATAAATACATTCCTATTATTTTTTATACAGTATTTTATATTTGAATTTTTTACCTAAGTTCATCTGACAAAATGAGATTTTTTAATTTGGTCCCGTGAGACTTCTTTTTGGATGGCAAATGAGCATCAGAGCTGTACGCGTCTAATAGCCAAGCACATTTTAACGAGAAATCGGCCGATTGTCTACATCTATAAAAAGAAATTAAAATATTAATACTATAGAAATATTATATGTTAAATATATATTCATTAAAAAATATATATTTTTACCTATGGACAAGATATGGATAAAGGACTTCAGTAACATCATGAAGCTGTATATACATTAACACCAATTGTGGTAAATAGAAATCCACTTCGTTATCAGGAAAACTGAACATCTTGTTACCTAAAAATATACTAAATATGTGTGAATTTGCTGTTTCAACGCAAGAATCCATAATGCAAGATTTATCTAAAAGTATGTAAATTCATATCAATTTTTTTTTTATAAAACATTAACAATTAACAAACTACCAATGAGGAATGTTTGTTAAAGAATTTACCTAGATAACTCTGAACACCTGGCTCTTTGGAATTGAAAAGATAGGATATCGCCATAGACATATCAAATATTTGACTCTCGAATAACCTGAGTAAACATCCCTCTGATGGCTTTGGCTGAACCGTCTCTTGTCTTTGAACCTCTGGTTGTTTTTTTACAGTTTCTTTGTCAGGTTGTGCAGAGGTGCCACAACATAAAGTCATAGCAGCACCTGCCAATTCTCCTTGTACCATAGCCACTTCGGAGGAAGAGTTCTGATACTCCATAGCTTTCTCAGATATGCTATTACAAGGTTCCTCACGTGGGTATTCATGATTTTGAAGTTCTTTGGGACAAAGGACTATACCAGAATGTTCTTCAGTTTCATGATTAGTTTTATCGAGATTCTTTAGTTTACAGAGTTCACGATCACCATTTTTATCAGACAAGGACTCACTAAGTAGCACTAATTCCACAGGAGACACTGATACAGACACCCCACTGTTATCTTCTCCATCGATAACATCCACGCCATCCATATCTCCTGCTTGTGACAAGGTAGAATCGAGACTTTCTCTACTATGTAAATGATCTATACTTGACTCTCTGGTAGCTGTGTTGGTGGCGTCGCTGGAACCGCTGTCGGAACCACAAAGTATACCAGAGTCATCGGATCCAAGACTAGCGAGGTCTTCGCGTTCTCGACTACGTCCTTTGCAGGTTGGCACCGTCGTCTTAATAACAGGCGTAGGATTCGTCTCGCATTCTGGACTCGGAGTAACGTCCACCTCAGGGATTCGTTGTAAAGCAGAATCCAGACTTCTGTTTCTATGGTGTAGCGTTAATGTTGTCGCGGCCACTTGAGGCACCGGTGGAAGTAAGATACCCATTGACCTGTAATCAATATTATAATTAATGTCTTCAAGTTTACCGCCCTTGGATCATTCTTATTTCATGATTCAATTATCCGACCTCGAAATAATCTCAATCACTATTTTACAAGGTAATACAGAAACTCCTGTAATACCTGAAGTCCAAGCTATGATTTCGTTGATGAGTTGTCAGCCTATTGCGAGTGCTGATCGATGGATTTGGCCGGCCGTGAACGAGAGGAACATTACAATTAAATAATTTGTGCCTTTTGATATGTGCCACGCTTTCCTGGCGTGTCGATGATCCACCAGTAGGCACTTTTACGGCTACGACTTCGCTCATATTAAACTTAAACAACGAGCACAAGCTCAGCCAACAGTCATCTGCTGTTCATGTTGACAGCTGACCTATCATAAATAAGAGAGAAAGAAAAAAAATAAACATGAAAAAACATTATCAGCTAGCATTAATAATAATTATTATTATTAATAACTAATTATTATTATTATTATTAGTCAACACATCGACCGATTGGATTGAAATGAATCTTAACAAATTAAAAGAAGTGTTAAAGAGATGTATTCGTTAGTTATATAATCGTGTTTCTAATCTGCATACATAACCCAAAAGAAGACAGAACACTTGACATCGGTTTATTCGCTGCCAATTTTGACGGTGAATGCCTAACATCTGCATACGTACTACGTGATTATAATATATATATACAAATATATGTATGGTGTGTATATATGTATTCCTTTCTTAAGAAGCAAACAATTTGTGGTAGGAAGTACAGACTTTGTTCGGTGAATGACGAATATCTTCTGAGAAAACACTATTTCTTCGTGGAAAAACACGAAAAGTTCACTGCGATGCGAGACAAATGTGAGGAACGCTTAGTTTCTAGAGCAAAATTTTAATTAAACTCAAACGAGTATGAGTCTTATAGACGTTGCAACGAAACGGGTATATATATATATACAATAATATGTCGACTTAAAAAAAAAAAGAGCTACCGAAATTACTCTTCTCCGCGAATAAAAATCTTTGTCATGAAGTTGGGTGGAATTCCGGTTTCTTATTTTCTTTCTTTCTTTCTTTTTTGTTTTTCTTTTTTCTTACACAATAATTTTACAATATATCCAGTGAATCTCAAAATTTGTCGATTCTCGGTGTCGCCCTTGCCTTGTGAATCCAAATTTAATTCTAACAAATACACATTTTGCGAATTTAGTCAATTTTTTTTTTCAAGAATTAGGTAAAAATAAATAAAACGCATTTTAGATCAGAACAAAAAATATAATTGAACAAATTCAACTAATTATAATAATTAGTGTAGGATGGATGAGCTTATTGATTTATTTATTCGAATCGTAGATTATAAACTGGACGCTGGAAGCATTCTCATTTTCTACTCTACTTTGATTTTCGCGCTATATTTAAATTTTATTTACAATAATTGCCGAGAAAATCCAGGTTCGTAAAAAAATAAGAAGTCGCAAATGAAAATAATATTATGAAAATTAGTGTAATATTTCATAGCATCCTCTCCCTCTAAAGAGGAAGTTGCGGGTTCACAGAGACGCACACATTAAGAATCCCATTGTAATATATCGTAAAAACAAAGTAACGAACAGAATCGCATTAATTCGTTGTACAAGTTCCATGCAAATTGATTTGTCATGACCCATTGTGAGATTCTCGTCGTGACGCCGCTTAATAGGGAAAAACAAAACCTAAGTAATTGCGTATACTTGGAAATACAATCGTCGTGTCGGAGTTGGAAGCTTTGTTTGAAAATGGTGGCACTAGAGAAATTTATAATAGGGAATATGAGCGAAACAAAAATGTATGTAGGTGTGTGCATGTATATATGGGATGTGTGAAAAAGAACATCGCATAAAACAGATTGCGAGAAATAAATTTCATATAACCTAGAAACCACTAGATATGAGAGAAACACAAAGATCCTTGTAAATAGGTTTCATGTATGTTTATGGATGAATAATGATAAAAGAAGAACATAGAAAGATCTAAATAATATATCATTACTGACAAGCCACCAGATAAATGATATTAATAAGATGAAAAGAAAAGTTTCGTCATTTGTCGACTATCAAGAAGTTACGAAAATATAGATGATATATCTATATACTATAAAATTCCGTTATCGTTTCATCCCAATAATTCAAAAATTATTTTTCGTAAAATTTATAAGGAAAATAAAAAGAGAAACTAAAAAATTAAATATAAGAGTGAAACAATAGATACAAACAAAATATAAAGTACTTTGCGTATTATTGTAATAAATGAGACACACGTAATCGTAGGGAACATTTCAACACAAGTTGAGAACTACTTCCGGTAGGTAAGTGAAACGTCGATTCTATATAAGTTAAAGGTTAGATCCAATCAACGTTTCATTCTATTTTACTGTCTCCTCGAGCTCAATCATACAATTAACACCTATTTCTATGATCAAAGGAATGATCTAGGATTGAAATCATTTCTTCGATGTTCTTTATCAAATAAGTTTTCAGCTTATACGTTCATACATGTTGCGTTATTGGAATGTTACGTTGAAATTGTTTCGTATTTTTTTTCTTAATATGGTTATGTTTCAGAATAATAATTTACTGTAGGAAAATGAGATAAAATTCTTCGAACTAGTTACGCCCACGATCATTTGAAAACGATTAGATTTATTATGCACTCTAGAGAATGTATTTCTTTTTTTCAAGGTCATTTGAATATTTAAATATTGTCAGCCTCGTAACTTTGTTCTTGCAGTTGATCGATACAAGGAAAACAAACTTTACAGTCGTTTAAACAAGTTGATGAACTTTTTTTTTTCGATAAGGTCAATTTTCTGAAGTGCATGATGCAAACTGCCAGGACTTGAAATCTTTAATCGAATTAACTGTGTTCACACAAATGTTAACACAATCAATCGCTGTTGAATGTCTAAAAGATTTTCAAGAATTTATAGATTGATTATATCTTGGAATTTTTTTTACTTTTTAAAATTCCTCGAATACGAATAAACAAAGTTTAAATGTTAATGTTCAATATAAAAAAAGAACTAAATTCATTAAAATACAAACTCTTGATAAATAAATGTTTTTTTTTCTATATCGCGTAAAGATATTTTATGCTCTAACATAATCATTTTTACGGCTGAATTATTCTCGAAATCAAGTTTTCTAGAACAAATATAAATGTTACTGAATACGCGACGTACTTATATTATTCCGTATTCGGTTTTATCATACAAACGGATTGCTCTCTCTCTCTCCCTGTCTCCTATTTTTTTGTCTTCGTTATACTATATTTCATATCTATTTATAATTACGTAGTATATCTTTTTTATGTTGTGAAAAGTCGATATACAACTTAAAAGAGAGAAAGAGAGAGAGATAGAGAGAGAGAGAAGAAAAATTCTTTTCTCTAACATTACGCTCGTAAACTTCTTGACCTCATCACGGTCTACCACGGTAAATTTAAAAAGAGAAAACATCGTGTTATATTCATCCATATTCGACAAAGCAAGTTCATTTCGTGAGGAGACTCTCTTAAGAAACGCGTATCGTAGTCTTCTCTTACAAAACAACCAGACTCTTCCGTGAAACACAAAAGAGCGTCGAGTTTCACGAAAACGGTACCACGATGTGTTAAACTCGATGTTCGCGTCCAGCCGAGCATGTGCTTTCACTAGTTTCACTTCGTGTACAATTCCCTTATTCTTATTCTTCTTTCTCCTTCTCCCTTTCGCTTAACTTCTTTTTTGCGAAATGAATTCTCGAATTATAACCGACAGCAACAACACGACAACAACAAAAAATAAGAAAAATTTAAACCAATCATCGTGTTATTCCTTATGCGCAGGCGCGCGTAAACATCCATTTAAAATAATTGGATAATAAATTTCACCAGGTTTACATAACATTCATTTGCCAAAAATTACTAACTCTACAAAATATAAACTAGAGAAAATAAAGAAATTAATATATACCTTGTTTTTTTCTTTTTAATTTTTCAACAAATATGTATATGTTTAAACACGCGTAAATTGTAGAATAAATTATAACAGATGTAGTTTTTATGTTACAAGTTTAATATAAAATAGAATAAGTTTATTCCAGTTGCATATTTAAATATTTAAATATCCTAACAACTATTCAAATTCTATTTTAATTACTCACGTTCGCTTTCACATAATTTCATATACACATATCATTATGAAATTATTATTAATTTAAAATTAAATAATATATATTAAATATATTTTACTGTATATAAGTGTAAATACACAGAAAAGTTGATCTCAATCTCGTGATATCTCGAATCAAGAGCAAGAGAAGCAAAGCGTGTGAAATTGCAAAGAACCTCCTCTCGACCAACGATTTCTCACGGAATATCATCCTTTCCGGCGGAAGAGGGTAGGGATGATGACGACGTAACAAACAAAAAAAATAAAAATAAAAGTAAAAAGAGAAAGAGAGAGAGATAGCGAGAAATCAGTCTGGAGGACACGGCTACAGCAATTCTCATTTTGTGTTCCTTGATTGACAAACATTCGATCCCAACGAATTAACGTCAATCATGATTATGGCACGTGATTGGTAGAGAGAAAAAAACAGCATCGTGTCGTTTCATGCATACGCACTTTGATCTTTAGCGCGTATTCCGAACCAAATTAATTTCATCAGTGTAAAATAATCTTCATATATATTTCGTTCAAGTTAATAAGTCATTGATAATAGTTATTCATCGTTATAATAAAATCTTTAAATGGTATTAAAAATGAGATCAAATCGATAAGAATGGTAATAAAATTGTTCTTACGTGTGATAAGGAAATAATTGACGTATTTATTAAAACGTAAAGAATATAATATACTTTTATGTACTGTGACTATCTAAATTTTATAATAAGTATAATATTTTTTTAGGTCGTATTTAGTCATGGCAGATATGTATAGGATAAAAATAATCTATTTAGAATGTTTAGTCATAACAAAATGAATCGATGGGTATTAGGTAAGCAAGAAAATTACTAACATGTATCGCATTTCAATATATACGTATGTATCCTATGTAGTCAAGTCTATATTCACAGTATTGATAGACTATTCTCCGAAACTATAGGGATGCACATTCCTGACAAAACATGTAACCTACGCGTATGTATATGTATAGGTGTATGTAGATCCAATTGACTTGACCTAACTATACAGTCATAATCACGAGACTCAAAAGGACGTATGATTCAATGTGCATATAGAAGAATAAAACGTAAGTATTCGGTGAAAACACTTGTGTAAATCACCATCATCACCTACGATTCTTGAAAATAAAACGGGAATGTGTGTGGTGTGCACGTTTAAAGTTTAAACCGCCTAAACACCTTTCAATCTGCCATATCTCTTTGCCCGCGCAATTTTACGAGTCGACGTAATTTATCAGGTGAAACGAGCACGATCGCGATAATCTGATATAAAGACTACGTAATCGAGGGGGAATGCGTCGAAGGAACGTGCTCGATATCGTCTAACATCAAGGACGTTTTTTAAACGTTCAAATGTACAAAAACAAAGGATGGATAATAAGTTTTACATGAACGATAGTTTTTATTTTATCTTATTTCACTGAATAATATACGATTCATTCTGTTCTATTACCTTTTTTTCATAATGTAAATATTACTCAGTAAAATAATATAATATAATAAACATTGAACATGTAAAATTAATAATTGTAAGAAGAAAAAAAAAAAAGGAAATTTTTGGAACGATCTGATATATTTTATATTACAATATTAACATTATTTCTACCAAAAGTATTAAAAGGAAACTTTTTATCCCTTTCCGGTCATAATCCAGAAATCTTCCAGCACGGCTGGCTTGTTTACCAATTACTTGTCTGGAAACACCTACTAATGAAAAAAAAAAATTAAAATATTAATTCTAAATTACTTTCCAATTATTCTTCCATCATTTTTTCTCCTTCAACATACTAATTTTATATAATAATTATTAATTTAGCCTCTTACTTCTTCGTGGATCTAAAATACGGATTTTTTGATCGAAACAGGTATGATATATATTATCGTGATAGAAATAATGTTAAATGAACAAAGTCTTGCGAGAGCGTGTGTAACCTTTTTGAAAGAGACCACATCAAACGATTGAAATACGAGATAAAATCAAAACGAAAAAGGATGGAGATGCGATGTCGCGTCTGCAGTCGAACGTACGAACGTATATATTATACAACGTACATACGAACGTACATACGAACGTACGTATAACCTACGACGAGTAAGAGCGTACGTTGAGAAAAGTGGAGGCAACCGAGAACAGCCGAGGGAGATCGAGCGTCGCTTCGGCCGGTTCCTTTTACTCTGTTTCTCTCTCTCACACACTTACATCTATCTCTAGTGAAGTTCATTCCATCTCCTTCTTGCAAATCTTTTTCGCCGGCAACGTTCACGCGTGACTGCTTCTATTGCGGTGCTGTGTTTCTGAGGTGTGTGTATACTAGGGAGTAAAAGCAAAAATAAGAAAACTTAGGGCCGCCTTGCCGGTGTCTTAAGGGCTCATGATTCTCTATCTTCCTTTCTCTTTCCACGATCGTTCCCTTTCCTCTTCCTCCTACCTACCTATCTCCCGTGAGAATCCGATCGACTCTTCTGATTTCACGGAATCGTTTCTCGGTTGAACCACATCTTACCTTCTTTTCTAACCCTTTCAAGCGTACCGAACTAAATCGGAATTTAATTATTTCCGACCTATGCTTTCTTTTCTACCTATACCAATTTCAAATATTCCTTTTTTCTTCTTTCCATATCGGCCAATTAGAAATGGCGACGCCGAGTAGCCGATTGGTCAAAGGGGGAGTTGATCAATCCAATTGTAGTATTGCGTTTGAACGCTCATTGGTCAGTTTAATAATGCACTTATCAAAGGAACGTAAATTATGCAAGAGATACGAGATAAAACACAACAGATACACGTTTTGTACAATCGATAAAACAATATATTGTAATCTTATCGAGGAAAATTTTTTTAATGAATAAATCATTGGGTTTTTTTTTGTTAACTCTAACAATAAGTTTATCCTTGTTAATAATATATACATGTCGTTTAATATTCCTGCTCGTTTCATGAGATTTCTTTTTATATTTATAATGATGTATCAAAGTTGCAGGTGCCTTTCCAAGTGAAACATTTGGTACATCCTTCTCACTATTTCTATCAAGCTTTTTTTTTCACGATTAGAAAGCGACAAATAGAAACGCTGCTGATATCAAACTGTATTATTTTTTTTTATACACAAGTTTAACAGCAGAATCATTTCTATTTTCTCGGTAATACGATAATATACGATATTATCTTTTCGTTATCTAATTGAAAATATTGACATATAAGTAAATACTCATCTATCAAATTTACTTTCATTAAACCACAGAACGGATAATAATTAAACAAACAATTTGTTTATAGAATTATAAATAATAATTACTAGTTACAAAAAAAAAGAATGAAATTAAAGCATTTCTGTTAGAGGATGGATTACTAAACGTTAATTCCGGATGCAGACGAAACGCTTACCGCATGCAGGATCTTAAGGAGATACACCCATCCCCTCTATAAAACTTTTTCAACCCTTTGGACGAGTTTACGTCAAAGCTGACGTCATCAATCCATGTGCGATGGCATTGAAAAACAAAAGTATACCAAAGAAAAATAATAAGTATGCAAATATGCACCGAGAAAAACAAACTTCAATAGGATCTAATGTACACATACATAAATACAATATTTATCGAAAATTAACAAAAAAAAAAAGGAAAAAAAAAAGAAAAAGAAAATGTATAGGTAAATGCGGAGAGAAAACAAACTCATGTTTCTATCACGTGACTAACATCTCATCGTTTTCAGCATTTTCGCTGGTCATTCTAACAAGCTGGCAAGGATCCAAAAGAGCCAATCCGAAGAACGAATGAACATTCTGTCCTTTAATTTCGTAACACTATGTAAACTAAATAATACTTTATTAACGATCGTAATTCGATCGTGGTAATCCATTTTAATATCGTTTTTTTTATTATTTCCTTTCTTATTCATTAAACATTTATATTATGAAACATACTTTCGTCGAATTTCACGACTTTCGAAAGAACGCGGCTAAACTTTTCGTACACTCATATATCGCGTTCAAATCGATTCGAGAAAGTCGACGATGCCAGCCAAACTAAGACTTTACATATGTATATATACAATCGTACTACTACTATTACTACTACTACTACACTACTATTACTACGTATCGCACATCCTGGTTTCTCTTGCTTTGCATTTAACTCTTCTAACAATAAAAAAAAGAAAAAACAGAAAAAGAAAATAAAAGAGAAGAAAAAAAAAGAAAAGGAAAAAGAGAAGGAGAAATAATTTCAATAAAAGGAATTCCTTTCTTTTATATATATCGTTTTCCTGCTACGTGTATATTATTGTCATCTCACATACGTGGTGTAAATACTTTTAAAAGCAAAAGTACACATGTTTTTCAAAGTCAGGCCATTTCTCTCTTTCTTCCACTCTTTTTTTTATTTCTCTCAATCCTACTAAACATCAGAAGTAACAAAAAGTGTAGGAAGGGTCCGCGTTCCTCCCCTCTCCCCGCCCCCGACCGGCACTGCACTTTGCAATGACAACTACAAACATTCTCTCCTATCATACTTTTTCACCATTTGTGTATCTCTTTCGACACGAAACAACACCACACGCGTTATCGTTCTAACTCCGAATAGCATGAACACCGAAGAATCATCGACCGCCTCCCTCTCACCCGCCCCCTCCTTTACAACAGTTTTCTCTATTTTCCGTATAAAACACGAATTTTATTCGAGGATAATATTTATGTGAAAACAAATACTAATTCGTTTGTGTTTCCTTTTAACTAACTTATTCCTATTAAAAATCCCCATTGTCCTAGATTTGATTATTATTATTATTATTATTATTATTATTATTATTATTATTATTGTTAAATTTGACAAACGAGACGGCAATTAATGCTTATTCCTCAAAATGACATATCACGATGCTCGATTGAGTATATATGTATATACCCATGTGTATATATGTGTATACGCGTGTAAGTAAACGATGAATCCCCGCTTTCACACATTGCAGGGAACGAGGTTCCCCGAGATACGTGCTCGTGAAACCTCTGCCTGCTAGCTTTTGTTCTTTCTTTCTATACATCTCTCACAGATAAAACAAGGATAGTCTTCCTCTATTCATCTCTCTTTCACTAAACATACAGTAAACTCATCGCACGCCGCACATATATACATAATACATATATACATACATGTAGATATATATAATATATATATATGTACATATGTCAGAAGAGAAATGTCGATGATCATCACGATCAGGGTGCGACATTGACGACGATGATGTGGCGGAGACTGTGAAATAACTCACCTCACATTCGAAAATCCCAAATTTGTGCTACAATCGGATTGACGGCATACTATCTTCGATCACTATTTCTCTTTTTACTTTATTTCTTTTTTCAACTCGAACTTTGAATGTCTCTTTCTTTCTTTCTCTTTCTCTTTCTCCCTTTCTTTCTTTCTCTCTCTTTAGATAGAAAGGACGGTAAAGAAGAATCCGAGTAAGGTAAAGTTGATAGTAATAAGTAGTAGTAGTATTGCTTGTAGTAACGATGCTGCCAGTGAAAGATATATATATATATATGTATGTATATATGTATATCCTTTTTCCCAATGGCAGAGCTCCAGCAGTACTGTCACGCACTGAGAGCGTAGGAGAGGCCGCTTTCAAGCGATTTCGCGCGACGCCCGGCTACGCCCAACAACGACAACGGTGACTTCTTCCAACACTGATCCTCGTTTCTTCTTCATAGCCTCACACCACGTACATTTCGAACGCACGAACCACTCACGACTTTTCCCGAGTTCTTTCTCTTTCTCTCTATCTGTCTCTTTCTTTTTACTTAAATGTATGTATGTATACATGCACACATATATGATGTATATACATACCTATATATATATGTATACATATTATATATATATATATATATAATTGCTTCTTTCTCTACTTCTTGTTATGTCTCTCTTATTCTTCTTCTTCTTCTTCTTCTTCCCCTTTCGAAAAACTTAGAAATTTCTTTCCTCTTCTAAACGTCGTCTCGCCAGTCAGATTCACCACTTAGAAATGTTATGTGTTCTTAAACGTTGATGAGAACGTTGTGTGACCACCAAACGAAAGAGATACGCGAGAAAGGCGACGCGAGAGACGACCTCGCCAGGCTCGACTGCTCGCGCCGCACGATGCACCGACTGGCACGACGCCACTGCTGCCAACCGAACGCTCGCCTTCCTAAGACCCGAACAATACCGAGTACCAGGGCCGTACGTGTCAAGTCTGATACCCGATTCAATTATCTTTTTTCTCCACTAGCCTATCGGTCAATCAGTTGTCTTTTGTTTCGCCCTGCACTTTTATTTTCTCGAATCTTCTTCGATATGATTTTAAATTTATAACCAATTTGTTAATATTTGTTTATTAATTTATATCGATTAAGTTATTTATTGATTGTGATATTAATTCTCTTATAATAAAGAAATAATACTTTTGGTAAGATTTTTTGACGAGGTTTATTTTTTTTCTTTTTTTTTTTTTTTTTTAAAGAATAGAGATATAGAAAGATAAAGCCGAGCTGTTTTCGAGAAAATAAATATAACAGCGTTACGTTCCTGGAGACACGTTAATGCCTTGTACCGATGCTAGCTAACGAGATAACAACGAGAATGCAAAACGGTAGGAGAGCGATCGCATGGGACGTCACATATGTGAACGTATTGCATTTCATTCCGATCTACGAGAGGATTGAAAAATCACATAGTAGACACGCTTAGAGTAGAATACGCTCAGAGAATACATATCGAATCGGGATAAACGTATGTGTAGGTGTAACAACGACGCGTGGGTGGTCCATGGCAGGGCTTCGTCCGCCCGTTTTTCGCGTGGGGCGTACGCAATTGGGTATACTCGTTCTATCTTTCTGTTTCTATCTCTTTTCTACATTCTTTCTCGATTCGTTTAATGTTGGCAACGTTTCTCGCTGGGTGTTTGTACGGGAAAGGTCGCGTTGTGCGACGAGTGCAGCTGTACCGAACACGAACCGAAAGCTTCGTGACTGCCTTATGCCGCGTTTACACTCCACTCACATTCCCCGCTAACTCTGATCGAAAGTATAGTTTCGGAAGATGGCGGCAAAAGAACGATGGGAGAGGGGTAAAGGAGAAGAAGAAGAAGAAGAAGATGCCGATGCCCGCAAGACAAACTCTCTCGCATCTTATAACTATTTTACTTCGTTTCTCTTTTCTCCCTCTCTCTTTTTTTATAAAAAAACAAAACTATTTATCATCTTCCGCGTTTACAGGTTATGTTTCGTTACAAAACTTTATTAATTTTGAATTTTGTTTGACCACAGATCTTCGAACACATGTTTTCTTTTCGAATTTTTTTTCGATTATGCAAAATGAATCCTTTTATTTTTGCATACAATATATAATTGTTTTATTTTCATCGCACAATGTAAATGTATTTTTAGTTTTAGTTTTCGCAAGTTCATTTTCAAAAACGTTCACGATTCTGATAAAGCGTCGTCGATGAGAAATTTATAGAGTTCTTTGTTTCGAAACGATCTGACTTTTTAGCACGCAGTTTTGCTTTCCCGCCTTTCATACCCGCATCTCTTTCTCTATATCTCTCTCTCTCTCTCTTTCTCTTTGATTTAACTTTATTTCTCTTAACCCGTTAGAATTTTTATCGAAGTGAAAGATATTTTTATGGGTTATTTCGATGAAATAAAATTAAATAAAACATTATCATCGAAGAAAGAGAGAGAAAAATATTTTTTCAAAAGTACACACTATAATATGATGACAAATGAGAATATACAATTATACTTAAAATATTTAATAAAAACAAATATATTATATAGAACAATTTTGCTATTACACGTGCGTTGATATACGCCGGGTATACGCCAAACAGCTGTTCGCTTACGGCGATACACGTTACGATAATTAACTAGAAAGTACGCGATATGCACACACCCATACATATGTATATAAATATATATGCATAAAATCACGCAGGTGTCAAACTTATCACATACGTACGTCGCAAGCAATGAAATTGGTTCGCGCCGATTTTTATGACCATCAGTTTCTTTTTAAGTCGCCAAACAACTATCGACAAATATGTTTTTTTTTTTTTTTTTTTTTAAGAGTCTGATTTTAAGCATATTTTTCTCGACTCACGTAAACGATAAATAAATACATGTGCACGATTACAAATTTTATTTGTTATTGCTCATTTTTTTTTATTATAGAAATGATTCCAAATTTTTTCATGATTTATTATGCAAATATATTTACATTATAAAATGAAATCATGCATAAGAAGATTTATCGTAATTAATACTCAAGTTTATATACACGAGATAAGAATGAAAAATATCGTCGATTTAATTCAACTCTTACCGCACAAAACTAACCGAACGGTACAGTTGGTTATCGTTTGGACCCCTATTTAAAAATTTCTACTCGTAAGGAAAAGAAATAAATTACGTCTATTGCAAATACGTAGAGCGAACAATAATAATCCTTGCTAATACTTGTCGTTGCAGTAATTGTCAATAGATAAGAAATGCACAACAAAGAATTCTTATATACCGCTTCGTATATTTGCTTCTTCTTTATGGCTCGTTAACTTGCTATTATGCAATTTCGACTGTGTAGAGGTTGGTTTAGTTTACGGAATAACAATGCTAAATTTGCATGATGCATAAAGAGAAAGAGAGAGAGAGAGAGAGAGAGATGCGGATGTTGAAATTATTTTTCTTCTTCTTCTTCTTGTTTTTTTTTTTTTTGGAGAAGTCGACTGACCATGAACGTTCCTCCCCCTCTCATCATATTTCTCTCTCTCTCTCTCTCTCTCTCTCTCTAATAAAACCAGTCAGTCGTTGATGCTTCCTGTAATTTTACACGCTTTCTACCTGTCTATAAAAGCAAACTGCGCCTACGAGAATTTGCACGCTTAATGTTTGTCGACGATCCTCAGAATCTTCAAACGTTTCTCTAAGAATTTTGTTATGATCGAGCGAATAAAAAAATTATTAATTTTCCTTCTTGGTGTACACTTCTCCAACGGTACACGATAAGCTATGACAATTTGAGTCAAGGAAATTCTAAAATTGTTGTACAAACTTGTTTTGTCGTATAACAGTTACGAGAAATTAGTTTTATACGACCCAGTATTTATTATCGATTTAGAAAATAAAATGCGTCCCCTATTTTGCTTGTTTATTTTTTTTATTACGATTGATGTCTCATGTCAACGAATTTAGAACAAACACGTAATGGGTGATTTCGAATTTCCGGTACTTTTTTGTCTATAGTTTTACCTCGGAAGATATTAGTCATATTTAGAGAGCACAAAGTGCAAAAGTCGTTAAGTCACCACACTGTGATAGGGACGTTTCGTAGTCGTTGAATATTTACGTTGTTATGTTGTACGATCATTCTAAGCATTCTCGGAATCGATAAAATTTCTCGTTTTATAATTTTACGTGAAATACATCTTGCATGATTTATTCCGAATATTTAATGAACTGTAATAAAATTCTTAAGAATGTAATACTTATAATTTACATATCTTTCATATAAAAAAAAAAAAAGAGAAAGAAGAAGAAGAAGAAGAAACAATGGAAACGTTTGATTAAATTCACGCAAAAGGAAGGAAATGTTGTAGTCGTACGACGGGATTATCGTGAGAGAAATATCGATTGTTCAATCAATGTCACTTCTAATTACTATCGAGCTGTATTACGCGCCAACCAAATTTAATTACAATTGAATTACATTAGGTTTGCTATTATACGGGATAGCGTCGTCGAGATGCGTTAATAACTTTGGATTAGTAATGAAGCAGTATCATCGGAGTCAATGATAATACCAAAACCGCAACGTTCTATAGCGCCCTAGCTTATTATCGAACATTGATTACATATTGAACGGTTAAATATAGTTCAATGGTATTACGGAGAATCAGTACGTCTGGCGATATTCGATTAGTCGAGAAAATAGTCATACTACGACCTTCAACCTGCAATAACGATTTTCCTTATTCTTTTTACCTTCTCTTTTTGTCTATCTTCGAATAATTACGAAGGACTATTTAAATTTTATTCTCTTTCTCTCTCTTTCTCTCGATCTTTTCCGATTTTAAAGTGTAAAAGTCAAACTAATCTAACGTATCAAAATTTATACAACATTTCCGTGCCGATTAAAAAATGTCATAACAAATATTTACATTACTTTATTAGAGATTAAAAAATGATTATTATTGTTACGATAAAACATACGTCTGTGTATGCTCTGTCATAGTAAAAAAAAAAAAAGGATAAAAAGTAAACTTAGAATGTGTAGCAGTGATCAAGCTACATATACACAGTGTCCAAATAATTTCATTATGTCAATCTATTTGCTGATTTCTCCGTAACAATTAATTGGCATTTTATAATTTTATTCGAGATTATATAATAAAGATTAAACTAGAAGATAATGAAGTATATGCATATATACATATTACTTATCACATAGTTTCAAGTGTAACAAGGAGACACTCGTCAAGTGTATTAGCTGAAATGCGGCCATAGTTGAGCAACGAGGAAGGCCGTTACGATGTAACGGCCAACAGTGTGTGCAGTATGGAATGTGGAATCGCGGATGAAAAAACGTGTCACGAATCCTTGACCTCCTCTCGTATACACAAGGTGCTAGCCTAGGAGAGCACTTGGACGATCAACCACAAGAAAGATGGCTACCTAAATACTCTTAGATTCTTCAATCCTTTTTTCTACGTATAATAGAGTTTCTTAAAGTATTGAACATTTCGATGGGTTCAGTGCTATTTCTTAGATCTGTTCAAATGCGCAAAATGTCATAGGAAAGGATATAGAAAGATCTATGATCTTGCGAAACTAATAGATATTTGATTTCTTTTGAAAATGAATTTTTTAAGAAAGAAAAAAGGAAAAATAAAATTGTAATATCATTGAGAGAAAAATGATTAATGGATACTTATTGGTAACTTGTTATCTGTTAAAAAAAAATGACGATAATAAACGTGTGACGTAATAACAAGATAGATCTTCCAAGGTCTAATATACAAATGTGTATATTTGGATCAATAATGTTAGGATTACTCGTTGTGTTATTGCAATTTAAAAATAATAAAATAGATCGGATTGATCTGTGGAGAGTATTCTATCGGTAAATCAAGTGTCGTTTATTTTGTTGAGTTTAGGATCGATCGGAATTTTATGACGTAGCTTTTATGCAGGCATTTGACCCCATTTTTTTTTTTTTTTTGAAGTTGTTATTTTTCTTTCTTTATTTCTTTCTTTCCTTTTTTTCCCCTTAAGCTAAATATTGCGTTTACTCGTAGCTTGC